CGTAGACGGGAATCGAACCCCCCAACCCGGTAAGTACAAGGCAAACGTTCTAACCACTAAACCATGCCCACGTTAGCTTACATTTCCTGGGTTCCTATGGTATTTACTTTACTTCCATAAGAGATCATTTAAAAATAATACGCAACAGCTTTTATTTACTATATCTGATTTGCATTGGGTCAAAAGTTAATGTCTTGGGGTACAAAATTCTCAGGATACTTTGCTGGAATTGTTGCCCGTTCCTCTGGAAAGATCTATGAGATTCACGTCAGGGCTTTGCGTCGGACAATCCTAAACATTCCCATAAGAATATGAATATGTCTGTGCATTTAAAAGAGCATTTAAAGAGTTCAGTGTAGCAATTTGGACTGAGATGTTCCGATGGTGGGAATCGAGTCCTGTTGATCCTCAATCCTCAGCTCTTTTACTGCTTCTGGAGAATCCATGGTTCCCCTCGGTACTGACCTATGATGCCCGTTCACTGCTTCGAATAAATGACCGATGACAGACTGAAAGTCATTGGTGTCTAACCGAGAGTCGCACGGGATGAGTCTCAAGCCCATCATTCATCTCTTCGGGGGATGAGTCTCAACCCCACCCTTCATCTCTTAGGGGGATGAGTCTCAACCCCACCCTTCATCTTTTAGGGGGATGAGTCTCAACCCCACCCTTCATCTATAACGGGGATGAGTCTCAACCCCACCCTTCATCTCTTAGGGGAATGAGTCTCAACCCCACCCTTCATCTATTATGGGGATGAGTCTCAACCCCACCCTTCATCTCTTAGGGGAATGAGTCTCAACCCCACCCTTCATCTCTTAGGGGGATGAGTCTCAACCCCACCCTTCATCTCTTAGGGGGATGAGTCTCAACCCCACAATTCATCTCTTAAGGGAATGAGTCTCAACCCCACAATTCATCTTTTAGGGGGATGAGTCTCAACCCCACAATTCATCTTTTAGGGGGATGAGTCTCAACCCCACAATTCATCTCTTAAGGGGATGAGTCTCAACCCCACAATTCATCTCTTAAGGGGATGAGTCTCAACCCCACAATTCATCTCTTAGGGGGATGAGTCTCAACCCCACAATTCATCTTTTAGGGGAATGAGTCTCAACCCCACAATTCATCTCTTAAGGGGATGAGTCTCAACCCCACAATTCATCTTTTAGGGGGATGAGTCTCAACCCCACTCTTTATCTTTTAGGGGGATGAGTCTCAACCCCACAATTCATCTCTTAAGGGGATGAGTCTCAACCCCACAATTCATCTCTTAGGGGGATGAGTCTCAACCCCACAATTCATCTTTTAGGGGGATGAGTCTCAACCCCACCCTTCATATATAAAGGGGATGAGTCTCAACCCCACTCTTCATCTCTTAGGGGAATGAGTCTCAACCCCAACCTTCATCTATTACGGGGATGAGTCTCAACCCCACAATTCATCTTTTAGGGGGATGAGTCTCAACCCCACAATTCATCTTTTAGGGGGATGAGTCTCAACCCCACAATTCATCTTTTAGGGGGATGAGTCTCAACCCCACAATTCATCTTTTAGGGGGATGAGTCTCAACCCCACAATTCATCTCTTAAGGGGATGAGTCTCAACCCCACAATTCATCTTTTAGGGGGATGAGTCTCAACCCCACAAATCATCTCTTAAGGGGATGAGTCTCAACCCCACAATTCATCTCTTAAGGGGATGAGTCTCAACCCCACAATTCATCTCTTAAGGGGATGAATCTCAACCCCACAATTCATCTCTTAGGGGGATGAGTCTCAACCCCACAATTCATCTTTTAGGGGGATGAGTCTCAACCCCACAAATCATCTCTTAAGGGGATGAGTCTCAACCCCACAATTCATCTCTTAAGGGGATGAGTCTCAACCCCACAATTCATCTCTTAGGGGGATGAGTCTCAACCCCACAATTCATCTCTTAAGGGGATGAATCTCAACCCCACAATTCATCTCTTAGGGGGATGAGTCTCAACCCCACAATTCATCTTTTAGGGGAATGAGTCTCAACCCCACAATTCATCTCTTAAGGGGATGAGTCTCAACCCCACAATTCATCTTTTAGGGGATGAGTCTCAACCCCACTCTTTATCTTTTAGGGGGATGAGTCTCAACCCCACAATTCATCTTTTAGGGGGATGAGTCTCAACCCCACAATTCATCTCTTAAGGGGATGAGTCTCAACCCCACAATTCATCTCTTAGGGGGATGAGTCTCAACCCCACCCTTCATATATAAAGGGGATGAGTCTCAACCCCACTCTTCATCTCTTAGGGGAATGAGTCTCAACCCCAACCTTCATCTATTATGGGGATGAGTCTCAACCCCACAATTCATCTCTTAGGGGGATGTGTCTCAACTCCACCCTTCATCTATTACGGGGATGAGTCTCAACCCCACAATTCATCTTTTAGGGGGATGAGTCTCAATCCCACAATTCATCTTTTAGGGGGATGAGTCTCAACCCCACAATTCATCTTTTAGGGGGATGAGTCTCAACCCCACAATTCATCTCTTAGGGGGTGGAATTAGGGTTTTTTTTCTTCTCGTAAATAAGTTCACCAGTAAGTTCAGTGGTCGCATCCACGGACTGTCAGAGAGCCAGTGTTGACCATTAAACCGCTGAACTTTATTCTCACTCACTATCAGTAAGCTCTTATCCTTGTCAGGCTCGCAGTGGATCCAGAGCTTATCCCATATTACAAACAGATAGGGATGAACAGAGTCGCTAGACTATTTCGTCCCGGACAGATGCTTCTCGAAGTTGATGTTGACGCATTTTTACGATACATAACCCCATAGCCTGTTTCCCAGAGCCACCGTGCCGTTCTAGCCCTGCAGCTTCAACTGGCATGCTTCACACCAAACCAGACGTTCACGTCTTCTAGAGAAAATAACGACGAAAATTCTTCCTCTGCATATCTGTGCTGTGGTGAAGCATCGTGATTGGAATGATTATAATGAGTTTAAACACGTTCGATTTTGTCATAAATATAAAAACAGATTTTTTTCGTTTGGAAAACATTCCGATAGAGTCAAATATAACACGTAGTTTGGTTCTAGAGGCAAGATATTTAATTATATATATTTAATAAAAAAATCTATTTGTCAGGTTGCCTTAAATGAAAAATCCACCTAATGCACCTCCATGATTTAAACTCTGAGAGTGGGGCTTTTACTGCTGACTCGGTATGACACAGTTTTCTATTTTTTTGTGGTGTTTAACCGGACTTGGGTTCTGTTTTGTCGTATAGTCCTAGCAGCTCAACTATACAGTCATTCTTTCCTTTTCGTGTCAAATGTCTTTTCTTTCTCTTTTTCCTCGACTCTCGATTGAACACGAGAAACTAATACACTGAACGTTGCTGTGTTCGTGAACGTGAACGTGAACGTGCGTACAGTACATATCGCTATACCATAGAAAACCTGCACACCTGCACGCTCGTGCTTACAAAGAATGTCTTTTCTGCTCTGTCTCACGCCCACTGATCTTAATTCTGTAATGAAAATTCAGCTGGAGTGCCGGGGTCAGGACAGGCCTCTGACTGAGAGGCTTTTCCTTTCTCGTCCTCTTCTGCACGCCAAGTCATTAAAGCGAGGATGAATGCCAGTGTCGTGTGTAATGAAAGTCGTCTCCTAAACACTAAGAACAGAAGCGGACAGAAGGATAAGGCAGTGAGAGGCGCCGTGTCTCTGGGTGAACATCAAGCAGTTTAAGAGCTGCAGGTGAGAGATATATCACTGTCCTTACTGAGGAAGAGACAGACATACAGCGAGACAGACAGGCAGGCAGACAGAGATAGACAGACAGCGACAGACACACACAGAGACAGACAGCGACAGACAGATTTGAGATGATGAGAATAAATCAGTGAGAGAGAGAGAGGGAGAGAGAGAGGGAGAGAGAGAGGGAGGAGAGAGCGAGAGAGAGAGGGAGGGAGGGAGAGAGAGAGGGAGGGAGAGAGAGAGAGGGAGGGAGAGAGAGGGAGAGAGAGAGAGAGAGAGAGAGAGAGAGAGGGAGGGAGAGAGAGAGAGAGAGAGGGAGGGAGAGAGGGAGAGAGGGACAGAGAGAGAGAGAGGGAGAGAGCGAGAGAGAGAGAGGGAGAGAGAGAGAGGAGAAAGAGGGAGAGAGAGAGAGAGAGGGAGAGAGAGAGAGAGAGGGAGAGGGAGCGAGAAGGGGAGAGATAGAGAGATTTTCTAGACAGCGAGACAGACATATGAGACAGATAGATGGACAGACAAGACAGGCAGAGACAGGCAGACAGACAGAGACATACAGACAAGGAAGACAGACAGACAGACAGGTAGACAGACAGAGACAGAAAGAGATGTTGATAGACAGACGAGACAGACATAGAGACAGAAAGATACACAGCAACAGACAGAGAGACAGACAGACACACAGACAAACAGACGCAGACCGACAGACAGACAGGTAGACAGAGAAAGATAGACAGAGAGACAGACAGACAGAAAGATACACAGCAACAGACCGACAGACGATAGATGAATCAGAGAGAGGGAGAGAGAAAGAGAGAGAGATTTTCTATTTGCACATATATGTTTTTTGGTATGTGAAGGAGACGTTTGAAAAACAAGATAAAACTGCACCTCATACAGACACAGCTATACCACACACACACACACACACACACACAATCTAAAATTCATAGATATTGTCGTATATTGGCAAATATTGTCTCTGCCCATCAATTATTTATTTATTTATTTATTTATTGCTGAAACGATTTTTCCTTCGTTTTCTCTCAGTTCTAGTGTAATATAAACTCAAAACATCTGTCATCTGCCTTCTTGGATCTCTTTAAAGATTGACCAAGGGTGCCAATAATTATGAAGGCCTTGATGGAAGCTGACTGTTAGTTGGCTTGATATGAAAAGCTATGAGTGGCGTGTCCTTTCATGTTAGGCCAATATTCACAACACGTCTGTTGTGATGAATCTGTTTGGTGTCTCCAGAAACCCTGGTGGACAGGATGAAGTGAATGAGATTTACTTGACTCTAGTTCCCCCTGGTGGTCACACACGCCAATAAC